ATGATGGACTAAATGGCTTATTTAATAATACAATTGTCAACTTATTTAGCTTTTATTTAGATTTTTTTCTTTGAAATTGATTTAAAAAATGATGACTGCGGATGGATCCCTACAAAAACAAAAAATCCCTCAAATCCTAATAATTCCATTTCACGTGATTTAAACGAACCGAATTGCAACTGCATGAAATCAAGGATTGACAAGTGTCTTGCAATTAGCACGAACTTTACGACCCTATAATGTTTTCTCAAAAAAATTGTCTTTTTGAATTATTAAAATTGATTGGAAGGCTGACAACACGGAGTGCTGAAATACTTAAATGAACTAAATGATGAAAGATTCATTAATGTCAATCTCGAGATATTTTCAAAATTCAGACCAGCTTCTTCGACACCTCTCAACTTTTAAAATTTCGAATGAATCTCCACACTTTTTTATGCCAGAGCTTTTAAAAACTGCTATTTTGAATTCAATTTAACAAATCTCTAAAATACCTAAGATTTTGCAAAAAAATAGCATTTATATAATTTTAGCTTTTTATTTGAGTAAATCCGTGTTTGTATCAAAAAAGTTTCAAATTATGTGCAGAAAGAATTGATTGTTAGATTCACTCTGAAAACTGTCCCAATTTTCTATTTCGATCTTGAAATGACTGATGAGAACAAAAAATAGTTCAATAAAACCAAAAAACAAGAAATAGTTCAATAAAACCAAAAAAACTCAATGCTCCCAATTGGGCAACTACAAATTCATCAAAGTTGATTCGAAAGAAGAGCCTTAGAAAAACTTTGATTTACCAAACAAACTCAGGCCCATTAAGGAGAGCTACGTTCTTGTTGAAATATATCGCAAAAGCGTAAATGTTATTTGATAGAATCAGAACAGATTTCACCAGACCAATCAAAGTTACTGTTTTTAAATTTTCAATGTGAAGTTGGGATTTCATCAGAGAAAACGTTAGCATTTCTTGATGAGTTGCGCGCAGTGTGAGCTAGACAATTAAAAAAAACAGCTTACTACGCGTCATTGCAATATTAGGGAAAGCTGATTTCGCCATAAGCGACAACAATATCATTTTCGAAGAAAAAAGAGTCAATTTAAAATTTTTATAACTATAGTCATAAATTTGAAGAAACAAAGCTGATATATTATTGATTGGAAATCTAATTATCTGATTACACATGCTTTAACAAGAATGCGCGCGTGCTAAAAAATAGAGAAAAAAGTCGCTGTAAAAAGTTATGGGAACACAAAACATAACAGAAGAAACTCTTTATACGACTAACTGCTTAATTGAAAAAAAAATAGTCAACCAAGGGCCTTTCACGTAGGTTTGATGTGACGTAGACGATAAAAACCCATGCATCCGAATCAATTTTTGATTGGATCATCAGTTTCAGAATTGTTCTGAACCTAATCAACGCGCGCGTAATTCGATATTTAGTAAGGCATAAATGACAGCAGTTGTCTTCGAAAAATAAATAGGAAACAAAACATGAAAAATCAAAATTAGGAATGTTTTTAAAATGTTTTATAATGTTTTTTATTTATGCAAAATAGTAAACTTTTAAGTTTGATTGCCGATTAAGCTCTATATGAATTTTCCAAAAGTAGTTTTCCTGAAGTAGATATAAAATTTCCTTTAGCTGAAGGGTTTTTTTCATGAAACCTACTCGCTCAATTTTACTGCTCAAAATTTAAAAAAAATAAAACTGTTTTTTTCCCGAAAGAGGGAGAACTTGTTGAAAATTTAAAATAATATTATATCGACTCATTCCGATGATTATTTGAGGTAGCTGATTTTGGATCAAAAATTTCAAAATAAGCCTGCTCTCTCGTTTTTACGCTAGAGATTAGACCAACAATCTAAAACTTCAAACCGGTTTTTCTCGACACTAAATAATTTTTTCGAAATTTTTTAAATTTAGGCAAATTGCAGTTGAAAGTGTTTCATGAAGACATGTTGTTTGATCAATTTTGTAGATGATGATTATTTGTGATACTGATTTTTGTGATACAATAGTTTTTGTGAGCATACTGATAGCAAAATCTAATGCGTACCAATTGCCTTAAATAAACTCTCCGTGTAGACTGATGGTATTTTATCAAACGAAAATTAATGGTGAGTCGAAAAATTATTACTTTTTTAATATGTCCATTTTGCTATCAGTTCAAATTTTTTGTTCTTTCTACTTCTCAAATTTTTTCTGGTTTTTGATCTTAAAGTTTAAAGTTTTTTACTTTGAATTCAGACAATTGCGAAAAAAGCAAGAAAATCCAAAAAATAGATGGACTTTTCTAGCTATACTCATCTGTTTTATAAAAGGCAGCAATGGTTATCAAAAACTTCGAAATGGTCAAAAATACGCAGCAAGTTATAGCAAGTTATGCTAAAGCAAGTTAAGCATATATTTCTTAAAAGAACTATAGAAATAGCTCAAATCAATTTTTTTTGATTAAAATACAGATCTATAAAAAATGACACGCCTACACAAAGTGAAATTTTTGAACTTTCTGAGCAAAACAAGCTGCGCGATGACCCCTCTGGTTACCTCTGGCAGGGGCGGATCTAGAATTTTCTCGAAGGGGGGGGCGGATTTTCAAAAAAATTTCGAAAATTTTGACGACCTTTTTTTAGGTCGACCAGATTGATTTTCCGAGCTCTCCCAAAGCAGTAAAAAAGACCCTGTTTTGGCCAAATTGTGTGCGCCGCAGGCAATTTTTTGAAAAAACAGGTCAAAAAAGCCGTTTTTGGGCACTTTTCTTTTTGGGCACTTTTTGGAAAATTTTGACAAAAAAGTTGCGTTTTTTTTGGCGCGCGCTCCCCCTCAAAATAAGTAAATATTGGCGCCAAAGGCGCCTTTAGAAAAATTTTAGGGTCGGTCGGCCAAAAATGGATTTCTTAAAAAGTACCAAAGGGGGGAGGGACCCTTTGAGTTGGCAGGGGGTCGAATCCCTGAGAAGGAGGTGTCCGCCCCCTAACCCCCGCCCCCCCCCCTAAATCCGCCCCTGACCTCTGGTATGAATATTGATACAAAACATTTCAACATAAATCTTCATTGTGTTAACTTCATCCCCATCCATGCATCCATGATGATACATTGAGCAAATTCATGTCTTTGATTAAGGGTACCTTGCGTGTTCACGGAGGCTATCGCGAGCTATCTTAAGGACGTAATCAGCCAATCAGCGGCCTTTATAAAAATTGTTTGATAAGATGAAATTTTATAGTGAAAAAAAACAAGGATTATAGTGAAAAAAAAAACAAAAAAGAAGAAAACTCAGGTTTCATAATCCATACTTTTGCGTGGACTACCCCTCGTTAGCTTCTCCGCTCGTCCACATCTAATTACTCTGTCAGCATTAAGTCGGTTAATTCAAAATTTGATTTTTAGTCGAACGATTTCATCTTCAATTATGCGTGTATCTATCAAGCTTTGATTACCTGGTTTTTTTGAAATCGCATGTTGGCGCGGCTTCACAGTAACGATTCGCAAAATTCAATTCTGAAATTCGGGTTTCTGAAATTCGCGTTTCTGAAATTCAATATATGAAAGTCGAATATATATTTAAGACAGGAAGCTCAAATGTGTTCACAATAGTTAGTTTGTTCACCACGCAAATTTCATTACATTATGACAACGTAAAACGAAACCTTTAAAAACTGAAACTGAAATGTGTGTGTGTGTGTGTGTGTGTGGGGGGGGGGGGGGGGGAGTGAAAAGAGCTTGAAAATTTTTTGAAATGTTTTTTCATGTTATAAACTGCATTAAAACGTGTCAGCGTGAACACAAAAACAAATTTTACATCATTTCATTACCGCGTGAACAATTTTTGAAAATCTTTATTATGTAATTTTACAACGGGGCTGGGAAACTGGAAAAGAGCAGCAAAAATTTGTGCATGTGTTTATTTGATGATAAAAAAGCTCCAGCAAAAAATTTATTTTTAAAATTATATTCTGTTTTTATCAAGGCTGTCAAGAGAACCCACATTAAATTTTCCATGCTTTATCTTATAAACAAAAAATGAAAAGCATAATTTCTTTAATTCTGGCGAGAAATACTTAACTTTCAATCCAAATATCTGGCCAGAAATTCTTTTGAATTGTTTAATACAAGCAGGGATGTTCTTGATATACTTTATGGGCTCTTTTCCAGTTTCCCACCCCCTCGTAAAAAATCAAAATAAAGCTGTTCAAAAATTGTTCACACGGCATTTTGCATGTTATAAATGTTGTCAAAATTTGTTCACCTGTTCACGCTGCCACGTTTTATTGCAGTTTAGACATGAAAAGTCATTTTAAATAGATTTTCACATAATGAGTTTCAGTAAAATTCAAAGGGGGGACTGGAAAAGAGCCATTTTATGTCTGATCTAATTTTTGATCAAAACATAGCTAAATTTAGCCTATTTCTAGATAGAGAAAAATCTCCTGTGGGTGCTCGAACTTTCGATCTCTCAATAGCTAGACGTTTGTGGTATCAACTAGGCCACATGTCCTCAGAAAACTTCTTTCCGCATACGAAGCCTTTGTTGGGTTCGAGTACTCATTCTGGTTTGTTTCTTAGCATATGAATATGCGCAATGTGTCCTCCACTTTTTCACCGGCGAAGCGATTCCCTTGAATTGACACTTCAGTCTTAGACGCTGGTAATAGTCCTGATTACGGAGCTGACTTAAAAGGAAATTGAATCGCAAAGGATTGGAGCCCATCAGGAAATTAAGCTCAGATTGACGATTGACGCAAAACAACAAAAATGAACTCTTAATGATTAAAAAAAAACGTTTTCTGTTCTGTACCCGAATCAAAAAATGGAAAGCTAATTGATTTTCAAAAAAATAGACATTTTCCAAATTACATTTTATCTAGTATAAAGAATAACTTGTTTGATGAGCTCATTTTGCCGTTTTGCTTTTAAGCGTAATATTTGAAATAAATAATTTCAAACACTTTTTTCTGATCGATCATGCAAAAATTCGTTCCTTTGAAACTCGTTTCACTAAATTAGTTTCTTGCCTTTCAACTTTGTTATTCTTAGAGTTGACAAGCAATTTGTTGGCGTTGATGATAGCATCAAGTGAAATCTTATAGAATTGGTTTTTTTTTGTTTGTCGCAGCAACCAGTTTTAACTGGCGCCAATGTATTGGCTTTTACCATTCGTTGTAGGGCAGACAATGAAGTAAGATTTAGAATCAGTAACGAATGATTAACTCCTGATTACTTCCTAATCTCCTTCTTTGTTCCCTTCTTATTGGAAATATTGGGTAAATGGGATGAAGTCAGTAGTACGAACTAAAAAAAACATACATTAGTTATATTACTATTTTCTTTCAGCCCATCATACGGCTTTGACACCAACAAATATAAATGGGGACCTTTCTGTTGAGTTAGAAACGTTATAATTTGACACCCAGCTCACAGACAGTCTGAATGCTAATCAAATTGTTCGTGCTCATCAAAAAATTACGCTCAGATTGAAGTAATTAAAAAGTAGCTAGCCCTTAAATGTTCTGAAAAAAGTCGGCTAATATGTTCTGTAACCGACATTAAAGTTTTGAAAGCTAATTAATTGATTTTCAAAATAAACAGACACTTTTCGAATTATTCTATTAAGTATAAAAAACTAGTTGCTTCCTGAGCTCATTTTACCGGTTCTCAATCTGATATGATGCCTTCCTGATTGCATTAAAACCACTGAAAATACAAACACTTCATTAATTATTACAACCCACAAAAAATTACAACCCCTGAATATAATTACGGTCACTTGTTTATTACAAAACACTTTCCATTTTTTAGTAGTTCGATTTGTGTTTTTCTTGTCTTTTTAATTTTGCTTCGATAATTTGAACTATTTAATTATTTATTTCAGTTACGGTAATTGAAATATAGTTTTTGAAATTTAGACTTGAATGCTTAGTTACTGTCCTCCAGATTTAGATCAAATGAAAGCACCTCTCAAAGTAAAGCTTCTTAAATGGATGGTTGAGGTTGCAATTAGTACCCTCTAAAAGCCCTCCACGAACCAACCAGCTCTCATTTCACTGGGGAAAATATCTTGTTACGTGAGTGTTGCAAATCTATTTGTTCACAAATTTATTCTTTTTTTTCTGTCGCCGTAATAATCAAGACTATTGAAGGACAGATAAATCAGTTGAGCTGAGTTGCAGATTTTTCTTGTGAAAACTTATAAAGTTTCTCAGGTAAGCCATAGCTTTTTTACAGTATCGCGACTGAACAGAAGTGTATACTGATAGCAGGGGCGGATCTAGGATTTTCTCGAGGGGGAGGCAGATTTTCAAAAAAAAAATCGAAAGTCTTGTCGACCTTTTTTATAGTTCGACCGTATTAATTTTTTGAGCTCTCCAAAAATCAAATCACTATAAAACTCAATTTTGACTAAATTTCCTGCGCCGCAGGCAAACTTTTGAAAAAACAGGCCGAAAAAGGCGTTTAAAGCTTTTTTTTTTTAAATTTGACCAAAAAAAGAGCGTTTTTTTCGGCGCGCGCTCTCCCTTCAAAATTTGTATATTTTCGCGCCAAAGGCGCCTTTAGAAAATTTTTAGGGTCAGTCATCCAAAAATTGATATCTCAAAATAGTGCAAAGGGGGACCCTTTGGGTCGTCAGGGGTCGAAGCCCTGAAGGGGACGTCCACCCCCATAAATTCGCTGGTGACTGATAGCCAAGGGGCAGAATTGTGGATGAGGGTTTTCCCTCAAGTTTTAACAACCTAGTTTTAACAACAAATCTTTAATTGTTTTGGGAGAGCTCAAAATGTGTAAAACAAGCAAGCAAGCTTTTTTTTCAACCAAAAGCATTTACTACAAATAATCTTCGTAATGGGTCGAGTGATATATCATATCATATTAAAGACCTCTCAGACCAGATTTGAGCCGAGATATTAAAAAAAATTGATAATTTTCTTTTAATTCGTGGTCACAACTACGAGACAAACCGGCGTGAAATTTTTGAGTTTTAGTCTGACTTTGAGCAAAAAAAAAGAAAACGAGCAGACCTGTTTTAGGATAAGGATAGGCCATAAACTGTTGCTCCATTTGCCGCCTATCATACTGTGAATGTTGAATGCTAATTTCTAGGTTTTTTTCAGATCATTTTATCACTCGACGCACAAAAAAACAACAGTAATTTGAAAAAACATGAAATTTTGCGCGCCTAGTTTTTTTTAATTGATTTGTTTTTTTGTGAACTATAATAAATCATGAAATCAACAGCAAACTTTAAATGGTAAGTGTTATTTACTTATTTCAAATTTAGCAAAATTATTTTATTGCAAAAAGTTCAGTTTTAATCAGCATCAGCGTGTGGTATGTTTCCTTTATTTTTTCTAAAACAGTGTTTCTAAACTGTTGAATTTTTTATGATACAATACATATTCTGGGAACATTTTAGCCTTTTGGAAATATTTGAAATGAAATTTAGGTAGTATAAAAACCAATCAACGTGCACGTTAGCCATGATAAACTACAGGTGAAAATAAAGAGCTGTTACTTAATTTTTTGCTTACTTAACAAGTATGTTAGAATTATAAAAATCTGGTGGTAATTATCTCAAACAAGTTTACTTCGAAAATCGCAACAAAACATAGTTGTCGGCTGGCTTATAAACTCGAGCGTGATTGTATGTGACGGGATTAGTTACTCGTACTACCGGTTTGTTTTTTATTAAAAGTAACTCAGATGTAGAAACAGTGGCGCTGCAGGTTTTTCGTGAATTTTTTTCCAAGAATCACAACTAATCAGAAATAAATTCAAAAAACATTAAAGTGAGCATTAAATGACACTTTTTCAAGAGAAAAGGCAAACATTTTGAAGCTCGGTAATCAAAAAATCAAAGCCAGATAAAATGCATTAAAATGATATTGGTTTGTGAGACATTTTTAAGTCTAACACAAAAGCGTAAATAAAATTTTCTCGAGGGAGGGGTTGATTTAAAAAAAAAAAGGCTGACCAAATTTATTTTTTGAGCCATAAAATTGACCAAAAAAGCGTTTTTAGGCGATTCTTGGAAAACGTTGACCAAAATATTGTGTCTTTTTAGCGCAATCTCTCTCATAATTAGGATACATTGGCGCTGAAGTCGCTTTTGGAAAAGTTTTAGAGCCAGAAAGTCAAAAATAGATATCTCAAAATAGTACAAAGGGAGACCCTTTGGGTCGGCAGGGGTTCGAATCTTTGAGGAGGAGGAGGAGGAGGGGGGGGGGGTTAGCACAACTGAGAAAACTTGATAGTCAAGGAGATAAAAATAAAAGATTTGTTCGGGAAGTTTTTTTTAAGAAGACAAATCATGAGCACTTGTTTTTTCACCTTGTGATAGAAAACTTTCAATTTTATATTACTGTTCTGACTTTTAAAGGAAAATGACGAAAATTTTGTGCTCGGAGAGCTCAGACTGATATAAACGCTTCCACAAGACCTTTTCGAATGACATTCTGTATCATTTGAACGATATTGAGATCCTGAATTGAAGCTTAATTAGACTTTGAACCTGTTTTTTGCGGATTTTGCAGTTTTTTTATATAGTTATATCATAAAATTAACACAACTGACAAAACTCTACTTAACTTATCAGATAAAGGTGTTCCAATTAAAGAATTGAGTCTCGATAATGTTTTTGGAGGTTTTTATTTGCTCCCGAAAATAGCTACTTAAAAACTCTTTATTGCCTTTCTAAGTACAAAAATTTTGATCACTAGATTAATTAGTTATTGAGCTGATCAATGAAAATTTTTTCTGAAAAAATAAAGATTAGATTTTTGACTATTTAATTTTCCGAATAGGAATTATTCGAGTGTTTTTGGGCACAAATGTTTTTTTTTTTAAAAACCAACTTTTCATGCGTTAGTAAAGTGCAATGTTCTGTGAGTTGAGAAACAGCCATGTGCGTGATGTAGGAGTGCTCCTTCAAAATTTATTTGCGCCAGCACAGCGCAAAATAATAAACAAAACCAAAACAAGACTGCTCGTATCAGGGCGAAATCCTGAATATTCCGACTGCCTTTTAAGGTTTTATGGAGCAGTAATAACATCAAAAAATTATATGCATCAAAATAATTTTTTATTCAAATTTTTTATGAAACTCATCCCCCCACACGCCATATAAAGTACAAAAAGATAGATTTAGCTCCTTTTAACAAATCAATTATGGCAAATAATCTTCTTTCAACCAATTTGGAACAATTTTAAGACGGATTAAATGTCCACTTACGGAAAATCGTGAAATCTACTGCCTGATTCTGTTCTCTAAACTGATTGAGCACTTCGAGACCGCCAGTATCTCTGGTTCCTCATCTAGTATAATGACTGTCTTCTCTCTAGTCGTGCCCTATCAGTGTATGTTATCCTAAAAAGGCACTTCGCGACCGCCGGTATGTCTGGTTGTTCATCCAGTATAATGACTGTCTTATCTCTGGTCGTCACTTAATCATAAAATCGGCGCCATCCAAAGACGATTGATAGCCCGACATTCCCCCTCCGTCTCCCTGAGGTGCTTCTTAACGCTGGCGTGATATGAGTTGGTTGCGATTTCTCTGTAGATCTTTCAATCAAAATCCATACTGTGGCTGTACCCTTGGTTGAAATCCTCCGATGATTGCCCAAAGGGAGACGTGGATCTCCATTCTAAGCAGCTTTCGCAAACATTAGATGGGTGTTCACGGTTAACGCTAGTACTTTCTCCCATATGAACATTCAGTGTGTTGCCCCACTGATGATGTTCTAAAGATCAAACTAAGGTAGCAATATTCAACTGTCGCCCTTCGTGCGTATTTTCACTCTCTTTGGGTCTTGTGTGCTAGTGGATTTAGAGGTCGTTGATCCGTCATGTCCTGATTCCTGGCGTTTGATTAGGGAGTTTCGTTTCCTCTTGCCTGCTCTGTCAGAACGGTTAACTAATGGTTGAGTTTTAACTACAAATTTATTAGTGTCCTTTTGTTTATTAGCGTTCAATCAGATGTCCTTTTTAAGTGACCAATTTCCAACGCACTCTTGATTTTGAAACGATTGAAATCTGTTAATCTGAATTTAACTGAATGTGAGACAAAAATTTTTTTAAAATAGTTTTGGGAGAGCAATTGAAGTATTTTTTAAATTGTGCACATCCGATTAAAGGTGTTATGATGTCGATCTAAGGATCCAAATAATTTTCTCTACTGCAGAATTTAAGGATGGTTTAGGTAAGTTGAAACTCATTGCCTTTAATTGTATATTAAAGTGAAGCTTTAATTGTATATTAAAGGTTCTGCCAATGCATTGGCTCTTATATCACTCACAGTACATACGCTAGGTTGATATTGAGCTTCTCGCAAAAATAGCGAAAAGTTTTTGAAATAAAACACGTTTTGTGATCCACTCCAGGCGCGGATCTTGAAATTTCTCGAGGGGGGGGGGGGGATTTTGTCGACGAGCTTTTTTGTCGACGAACTTTTTTTTAAGTCGACCAAATTGATTTTCGGAGCTCTCCCCACCCACTATAAAGACAAGCTTTTGTCGACGAGCTTTTTGTCGACGAGCTTTTTTTTAGGTCGACAAAATTGATTTTCGGAGCTCTCCCCAATCACTATGAAGAAAAGCTTTTGTCGACGAGCTTTTTGTCGACGAGCATTTTGTCGTCGAGCTTTTTGTCGACCAAATTGATTTTCGGAGCTCTCCCCACCCACTATAAAGACAAGCTTTTGTCGACGAGCTTTTTGTCGACGAGCTTTTTTTTTAGGTCAACCAAATTGATTTTCGGAGCTCTCCCCAACCACTATAAAGACAAGCTTTTGTCGACGAGCTTTTTGTCAACGAGCTTTTTTTTAGGTCAACCAAATTGATTTTCGGAGCTCTCCCCAACCACTATAAAGACAAGCTTTTGTCGACGAGCTTTTTGTCGACGAGCTTTTTCTAGGTCGTTTAAATTAATTTTCAGAGCTCTCCCCAACCACTATAAAGACAAGCTTTTGTCGACGGGCTTTTTTGTCGACGAGCATTTTTTAGGTCGACCAAATTGATTTTCGGAGCTCTCCCCAACCACTATAAAGACAAGCTTTTGTCGACGAGCTTTTTG